GTGGTGCTTTCGGATGGATTACTTTATGTCTGTATCGAAACCAGGAAATGGAGAGGACCGCAGCAAGTCCATAGAGAGAAAGGGTCTTGATATCCAGGTCCAACATGAGTGTAAGACAAGAGTGAAGCGCCATGGGAATCGGAAGTCTCCAAATCCCGTCAAATCTTCTCAGGAGCTAAGTACTTGTGTTGGACAGATCCGACAGAATCGAAATCGGGGCTGCCCTCATGTTTTGTTCGCAGAGGGAATCCCATCTCGAGAACGAACACTCTGCCCTCGATGCCGCAACCAAGACGGGAGGGGACGGTCTACGCAAAGATACCCAAGTTGAAGTAGTCGGGTTGAAGGGGGCCGGGGTATGTGTCATGGTGCGACGTGACCAACATGGGCCTGTGTCCGGTCCGTCGAGCCGGAATTTCCGGCTTGACTTGTATGTACCGTTGCCTAGTATGTACGTCACATTCAAGTTCGTTCCTGCTTTTAACATCTTATCTCTTTCCTTACATGATAATACATCCATCCCAAATCTCACCGCGTATCCTTGCGGCAGGAATTGGACTCCTTTTGGTTCCCAATAATCCAGTCACCACCTCAAATTAGCTGAGCTCCAAGGCACCTTGCCAGTGACCTTGGTCAGACTTCCCAACCCCGATGGACACCCACGCACCACACCTATCCACCCATTCACCCTGCCTTCCACTGGCCCGCTGCCGCGCTGCCGCGCGCAGCAGTCCATCGGGATAATATACCTGCTCTTCGGGAAGAAAGGCGCAATGTTGCTAGGAAGCAAGCGCGGCGGGACGTTCGAGATCTCGAATGCGGCCCGCGGTGCCTGCGAGTGGGAGTGGAGGCCGGTGGTGCATGGGGCACATGCTGTCGGATCTTGTAACAGGTCAGGCGCTGAAGTTGAACGTGATACGGGACCCAATGGGTGCGGTCAATGTTGCGCTCAGGACGTGAGGCGAGGCGCTGGTCGAGTCGTTCGCCGCGCAGTTACGTGCATTTCTTCTCCTTTAGGTTTACATTAACCGTACTTAATACTGTAGACTCCTTCACAGAAATCAAAGGGCTTCCTCAAGCCAGGAAATTCAAGTGGTTTACCAACGACTCTCGATTCAAGTGGAGAGTACCACAAGCATTATACAGGAAAATGACTTGGAGAGCCCATCGTCCTTCTCACGCAGGTAGGGCGGGGAACTCATTTCAACAGGGTGGCGAATAATGGAATTCTTCGTGCGACCGATGATATTCTGGATCCAATTTGATTGATTAGAGTAAGGCAGTCTTATAATATGAAGGGCTACGGTCTCGTTTTACATTTCCACTCAGGTAGACTTCACAGCCTTATTCACAAAGCTCGAGGCCCGTTCCCAGGCACCACCAAGCGCTTCAACCAACCTCTTCCTGATAGGATCTCCGCCTCCCCACGGCTGGTCCGGCACCGGCTGCTGAAACTGCGGAAAGTTTGGGTTGCCGTTCAGAACTTATCATGCGGCGTCTCGTTCCCCACAGATGTACAGCCGCCTGTGGCAAATATCTCGACCCCGATCGTGGCCACCACGTCGGGAACCAGCGAATGCTTGTCTGGCAATATGTACACGGTCAAAAGCGGCGACAACTGCCAGGCCATTGCCGCGAGCAAGAACGTTGCCACAGGGACTTTGACGTCGATCAACAATATTTTTTCCAGACTGCAGTAATCTGATTGCTGGTGTCCAAATGTAAACGCAGCGCGCCTTTTGTCCGGCAATTCAATCTGACAAAATGCTTTAGCTGCATCCCCAAACCTGCCAGACTTACCTCGTGAAGCCGGGCGACACCTGCTGGAGCATTGCTGCCTCCGCCGGTATCACGCTCACCACCCTCCTGGGGTACAACCCCACCATCAACCCGAGCTGCACAAACCTCCTCTCGGGGTTCTACTACTACGTGTTCCCCACGGCGGACTGGAACGCGACAGCCATCGACAACGGGACGTCGACGACGGTGGCGCTGCCGGGGCCGACGCCGCCCGGCACGACGGGCGCGTGCTTCGCGTGGCACGTCATCGTGAGCAGGGACACCTGCTCGGGGCTGGAGCAGCAGTTCGGCGTGACGCTCGCGCAGCTGCAGGCGTGGAACCCGCAGCTGAGCAGCACGTGTACGAATCTGCTGCTCGAGGAGGCGTATTGCGTGGCTGGGCCGAGCACGAGCTCGAAGACGACGAGTATGATTGCCTCGGCCACGACGGTTGCCCCGCCGGCTCCGACTCCCCCGGGAACGACGGGCGCGTGTTTCCAGTGGCATGTCATTGTGAGCGGCGACTTTTGCGCGCTGATTGAACAGAATTTTGGGATTACGATGGCGCAGCTCAAGACGTGGAACCCGCAGCTGGCTGATGATTGCTCGAATCTGTTGCTTGGGGAGGCGTATTGCGTGAAGGCGTAAATGAGATTTAGTATGACTTGTTGTTAATAACATTGGTGAACCCCAGGATACATAACTGTGAAAATGTAGGACACAAACGTCAATTAGATGTTAGATTCCACGCGCCTGCACCTCACCTTTCTATTACCCGCGACCTCGTACCGATGGGAAACTCGCGCAGCCATAGTTGCGCGCTGATTGAACAGAATTTTGGGATTACGATGGCGCAGCTGAAGACGTGGAACCCGCAGTTGGCCGATGATTGTTCGAGTCTGTTGCTTGGGGAGGTATGATTGTATGAAGGCGTAAATGAGATTTAGCATGACCTGCTGATCCCCAGAATACGTAACTGTAAAAAAAAAAGTAGGATACAAAACGTCAATTCGATGGCAAGAGAGGTTAGACTCCACCTCACCTTTCTATTACCCGTGACCGCGCCTCTCCCCCTCGCACGAGGGAGAAAACTCGCGCAGCCATAACACGCGCGGCGTGAACCCCCAGCGGTTCTTCGCCGTCTCCCAAGTGCCGCGCGCGCCCTCGTTTTCGTCTTCCTCTTCGTCCGCAGCCCGCAACATCTCTACAGCGCTCATGTTAACAGTCCTGTAGCCGGCCAAGAAGTGCAGCGCCGTGTTGCCGTCCACGTCTCGTTGGCGGATCAGGTCCTTCATCCCCTTTCTCGCACGACTCTTCTCCCTCGCCCTTTTCTTCACCCTCATGCTCGGCCTGGCCATCGCCTCCCGTAGAAAATCGAGTACCTCAACCTGCGCATCGAAGAACCCATCGTCCTGCTTCCCAAACCCATGTGCGTGCCGCGGACACGTCGCGTGCAGCCGGATAGGCTTCCACGCCGGGTCGAGCATGGACACGAAGCACACGGACTGATGCACGCTCGACGCAAACACGTTGATGTGAGTTTCGTCCTGTTTCGTCGCGGGGCATGCATGCGATGTGGAGCAGCGTGTGGCCGCGGGTTGTGGTGCCGACGGCGCGGGGTTGTTGGGGAGCTGGCGCTGGAGGGACGCGGAGGAGGGCGGCAGCGAAGTGGACGAGATGGACGCTGAAGTCAGGGATGTGCGTCTCCGCATTGAAGAGAGGGCGCGAGGAGGATGGTTAGCAGTTTGCAGTTTGGTATGTTACGTAGACAAGTCGTACGGAGCAAGATCAAGGTTCGAAATACCCGGTGGCCAAATCGAGAAAGCCCGGCAAGACTCAAACGCGTACGTCATATACCTTTCTTGCTTTGAACATCTTATCCCTTTCTTTACATCTATCCCAAATCTCACCGCATATGTAGGAGTTGAATTCGAAGTCCATTTGGTTCCCGGAGGTCAAGATAATCCAGTAATCGCCCAAATTGGCTCCAAGGCACTTTGGCCAGACCTTGAAGGACACCCCACCGTTGTAACCTTCCTCTGTCACTGTGGCTGCCCATGCTAGTACAATATAAAAGTCGGGAATACAAGAACAGATAAGGAAGAGATCGATATCCAATTTCGATTTTGCTTGGGGCTTAAACGTCCAGTATTTATTTTGCGGAAATGGGGGGCCCGGATCCTGAAAGTATCGCCGGGCGGGTTTCGTCTTGTTTCGCCCAGTTCGAACCGTGTTCTAACTTCTGTACCGACCAACTTCAGAAACTTGATGCTGCCTCGAAATTCTGACACCAACCGGCCGGAGATTGAGATCTTGTTCTAAGTTACCTTTTTAAAATTTACATGTGTATCAACTTCGTTGCATGGGCAGTATCATTAATATTACGGCTTGTCAGATTGCTGGCGAACACGATTTTCTTTTGAAGCCGGGGGAATTGAGCTATAGGACTTCACTTTGGGTCCGTCTCAATTGCCTCCACCCGCGTTCACAATCAATCAGATCTAAAATACAGCGTGAAACGATTGAGGTTTGTCGGAAAAACAGTAAATCATTTGCAACGGCCTGAGTCAACTTGAGACCTTGGAAGGGCTTTGGAGGGCTTCAAAGACATAGCGGGGTGCCTTGGAAGCAGTCTCAGACCGTTTCAAGGCGTGACAGAGTGACTTGCAAAGTGTCTCAGACCGTGGCAAGGCGCACGGAAACCGCGACAACCTTCAGGGCCCTTCAAACCAGTTGAGAGGCTCATACTGAGCAGTGAGCAAGGAGTAATAAGTTGATGTTGTGAACTAGTAAATACCTTGTTCAAAAATTTTTTGAACAAGGTTGATCCGCGTGCTGAAAAGATTGTAGAAACACATTTGTTACCTGTCGCTGATCAAAGTTTAGTTTGTTTCCATTCATGACGAGCTCCGAGTCGGTTGTCTTCCAGTTGAAATATTGAACTTGACAATATAAACGATCCCTTAAGAGCTCCCCCGAGAGGTTATTAGTGCACAGAGATGTGGTGGCACAAGCCATGGAGACTTTTTGTGTTAAATGTAAACAGACTGGTTCTCTAAACCTTTGGATCATTCTTGAAACTCGAGGGAGGAAAAAAAAAAAGATGCGCCAGTTGGTTTACCTGGCCCGTCTGAAGCCAGCAACGCAGTGGGGGCTGCCGTGAACTTCGACGCGGACGCGGGCCTGCCAAGCTATTGGTCAAGAGCACGGCCCTAATTTGTCGCTACCTCGAGGAATCGAACCCCCAGCTTCCCGACGTAACGATGCGGGCAATTCTACCACTAAACTAAAGTGGACGACAGAGATACAGCTGGCTATGTATATGTGTGCACTATGAGACCAATAAACACGTATTTTTCGTTGAGAGAGCGAGCTTACAAAAAAAAAACTGTTTATGCGGCTTGTTGGGTATGGTCCGAGCCAGCGAAAACCCCGGGCAGAATGATAAATGGCGAGCAGCGGCGAATGTTCACACCCATTTCAAGTCTCAGTGACTGCTCGAGATCCTTATGAGTCCGACGAGCTGTGATTATGCGAAGGGAAATACACCACCAAGATAGCAAGTGAAAGAGGACGGCACTATGATCCCACACCACATTGATATAGCAAGAGAAGGTGAGCCTATACAAGCGTCTAATTCATTCTCGCATCTTCAAGTAAGTTGGCGCACATTCCGTTTCAGTTTTCTAGAATCTCGTGGTTGAACAAATAATTTATTCGAACATAATAATGTCTTCTGTTGCGCAACTGTTGATTTTGGGAGTTTATCCTGCAACGATTTCTTTAAATACTCATTTGGGGCCAACCGCTGATTTCGTGGTAAGAAGCGCGTCGATCAGCACTGTCACTGACGCGTCGCGTCGTGTCTAAAATCCGCATCAAATTTCAATGATCGTCGTTCCATATCTGAGATCACTGTCTGCAGTCGCGCGGAGAATTCGGAGTTCTGCCACGTGTAGTTTTTTAAAATTCCAGGGTACTACTGCCTTACTCAAGCACTACGGCACCGCCCGGGCGGCCCGGCGAGTATGAGGGAATCAAAACGACTCTGCATTCGTCGTCCACTTTAGTGGTAGAATTGCCCGCATCGTTCGAATATTCGACGTCGGGAGGCCGGGGACTCGATTCCCCGAGGTGGCGACTTGGGGGCCGTTCGCGATGATTCTTCAAGGCAAGTCCCTCCTTGGATGCTGGAGTTTCAAACCCATTAATTGGCCATTTCTTTTTTTCCCTCGCATCCAAAACTATAAGTGCTTTAACACGTTGGAGCCTTGGAGGGTTAGGAACCGTTCATAATTTATTGAGCAAATTATTCCCAGTTTGTGTGCTGACCTGTTATTAATAGCCGCAACACGAGTCGAATCTCTGGCTGGAAATACACGTTGGAGCCTTGGAGGGTTAGGAACCGTTCATAATTTATTGAGCAAATTATTCCCAGTTTGTGTGCTGACCTGTTATTAATAGCCGCAACACGAGTCGAATCTCTGGCTGGAAATATATGCCACACTGGGAGGACAAGGAATGTATGCAAGTACTTGGCAAGTACCCATGAACGTACGTGTGAAGTATGGCTGATCAAAGTTGAACGTGAGGGAATATCAATTGCAACTCAATGGAATCGTATTCCTCATCACCTCCTGATCCCGCTCATCACAAGGCGTCCCGCTCTATTCTGTTACAGAATCAGAACCCTCGATTTCGAAAGTGATAAGCCGGTCTGCCAAAGCAATTGAACAACTACTCAGTACCATAATTATAAGGTCCATAACCTCGAGCTCCCAACTGATAATGTGTTGAAGCACTCTCCAACTATGGCGGTCGATTCTTACCCCACTAGGATGCCACGGCATACTTAAGTGACCGCGTCCAAAATAGTCGCCGCTATCACCGCAAGACAGCGCAATTTAGCGCTGTAAAATAGCATTTGGCATTTCATTCCCACAACAATGGGACAGTGGTGGCATTTATGTACATAGCGTCAATCATGGGAAGGAAAGATTCTGAGTCAACTTATAATACTCCCACACTGCTTTGGACGCTATCATGAAGGCCACTCACCTTCGGCTACTGGCTGTGGCTCTTTTTTCACTTCCCGCTGCTGCTGTAGTCCGCAACTTGAAGGCCAGTCAAACAGACAGTCTCTGCAGTGTTCAGGCATGGGTACGCGCCGAGGATCTCTCGCCTGACCACATTTCCCATGGTGATTTCGCACATCGCCGTGCCCGCAGAATAACCTCTCATAATTATCGATTTGCAGGTGAGCTCCGCGTCAAAGTCGAACGCGCGGAGTGCGCGGATCAGATTGTGTCCGTGGTACTGCGTCTACAACTCAATGAGTTCGGTGAATTTGTGTACCTCAAAGAGGGTGTGGTTCTGCCGGAAAAATGGCAGGCAGTGAATCAGACAACCTTTGGTGGTGCTGTGGTTCACGATGTGGTGTACGACTATCAGCCGTATGCCGAAGCAACCAGCGATCCTGAGTTGTGGAACGTCGGGGCAGAGGAGCGGCGGGCGTGGATTGCCGAGGATACCCTCCTCGATCATCCTAGTATGTGCTGAACCTTCAAATCACATTTGCCATTGATTCATAGTTAATGTAGACTTGACTTACCCAATCGTCGCGCCATTCACCATCGCTGTTCCAGCTGTGAATTACCCACCTGGCACTGATAACTCGCGGCACCGACCTGCCCGTAATGCTCGGCACTCCTTCAGCGACATGGGTTACCAATACATCGCAGTAAGTGTGTAAACGCATGAGATTTATATCCAACGTCATGAACATGTTTCAAGATTGTGACATTTACCGACGGGCGTACTGTGGATGTGTTGGTGGGCCACACAGCATTCGTTCCCGTGGACCACGCAAGCCCTACAAAGACACCTTCATCGTGGAACGTAACATTCAAGGAGCCGTGTGAGGACTTCCAGAACAGGGATCTAGAGAAATGTCTTCCAAAAGACCAGCGATCTGAATTTATAGCAGAAATAACGCTCGAAAATGGGAACATTGTTCAAAAGGGTGTGTCCTGCGGAGTATTTGTTTGATTCGGCTGATCGTGCATCCAGGCCGTCTGCTGAAGGGAGGGTGACCATCCACAGCACGCACGGATCGACAACCATGTCCGAAATATCCGTTGGAATATGGACCGCTTACCGTGAGCACTGGGCACAGGCGCAGGCCGTGCCGGGGGCGACAGTGGGTTTTACAAATCCCATGAGCGGTGCGGATATGCGCTCAGCAACCAGCCGCTCAACGCCGAGTCCTCCATGTATGCTATATTTTCGACGACAAGGTCGAACACACCTACTCGTATCCTCCCGTGACATTGGCATCCAGCGGCGACGCTGACAACAGCACCCTCACTCCTGCACACCCGTACTTCGATTTCCAATTCGAGGTTCCCCGAGACACGGTTGTGGACTTCCCGTCGTATTACTCCAATTCGGAAAACCAACTGCTGTTCAACCTGGACGTGCTCTATGCACCGGAGGTAGCTGACTGCATGGGATTTCGTCAGCAGCGGCCGCCTAGAACCGCCGCTGACGAAGCGGCAGCGCAGGAGGAACTCCTATGGGACCCTTACACGCGCCTTGCACATATTAAGAACAGGCGCTGTCTGATGGAGCTTGTGGCAATGGTGCCCATTACTGTGGTCGGGAGCGCCGCGCAGGCTTCACGTCCTGTCGCGCATTACCTCACGCCCGATCTCCCGGTGCCAGTCCTCCGAGCCGGGGCACAGGTCAAGGTGCCCAAGTTCCCTGTCGCAGACCCAATGATTAGCAACGAGCCCGTTGCTGACACGACTGCGCGGCTGCTGCAGCCACACCCACAAAGCAGCCGGCACAAGAATGCACAGTACTTCAACATTCCAGATCCCACCCAAAAATATCGTCGAGGTCATTATGCGGGTCTGCTTTGGAAGAAGAAGGTCGTAGCAGAAGAAAGAGGATTTCTGCAGTTCCGCCCAGAAGTTATGGAGCCTGAGGGAGGAGACCAAAAGCCCTTGAACCACTGATGTACACCGATCGCAGCTCCCAAGTACCGTAGACAAAGTTTTTTGTCTTGATATACCCTTATACATAGTGACTTAAGATTTGCATAAATCGAGACCAAATATTTTGCTGCCTGCACTATTGAGAAATGTAATAGCCGGGAGAGAAACATATAGTCGGGGCAGAAACACTTCGAAGACGAACCAACGAGACGAACCGAAATTTGTTGGCCAACCTAAGTGTAACCGTCGTTTCAATCCTCCTCCTACTCCTCAGCAAAAAATGCGGTGCCTCGGCTTGTTTAGTCTCCCTAGTCAGACCAATAAACATCTGTTTGTTTCGTTCAGAGAGCGAGCTTACAGAAAAAACTGTTTACGCACCTTGAAAGTTGGTGATCTGAGTCTGACCCTAGCCGGCTTGCAAAAACCCCGAGAAGAATCGAGCAGCGGCGAGCTCGAGTGTTGTCCATATCCACCGAGACTCACAACTTGAAGGGTCCTGAGCTGTAACTCTGTAACTCGGTGACCGAGTTACAGCTCAATATCCTTGTGATTGGGCCTTGGGAAAATAGGCCATCGAGAGAGCAACCCGCTTCGTGAAAGGGAACGTGAACCTATAGGGTCCTATACTATACAAGCGTTGGGAATCGCCATGGTCAGCGCTCCGTCGGACCGTCCAAGCGGGACGAGGGAACACTAGATTACTATTTTGATCTATTACGTTTGCGGCGCAGAAGCTTCCGGCTCGGCTCTGGGTAACGACATTGTCGAAGGCGGGGTCCAGCGATGGTGGCAGGCGACGCAGCGGGCACTAGGTCGAGGTTGAAGTTGCGGAATATTTAGGTGCGGACGTTTGTTACGAATCGCTCACTGTGTGACAGGCTGAGGTTGAAAAATTGCACCGACGGCGCGGTCACGGGACTCGACGCGTCCAGTAAGGCTTAAAGGAAGAAATGTCGAGCACTTCCGATACGTCGCGATGAAGAAGATCGCTCTTCTGGGTGACTCTAAATAGATAAGAGATTTCTGATTGCTTGACGGTGTGGCATTATTCCGAGAGGTGACCATTTTAGTGGGAGTGGGACTCGGCTAACCATCCGCTAAGGGCCCTGAGTGGGACTCGAGTCTCGGCTAAGTTCCGCCAGTGGGACTCGCGTAATCGGCACTCCATCGGCAGCATACATAGTTAAAACTCCGCTCACAGTAAAGCCCCACGCAGTGGGCCCAGCGAGCGTCAGGGGGGTCCACGGGGTCTCCCCCGTGCTAAATACCCTTCAAAAGCTCTGTACCAGCATAAATAA